CTGGGAACTTCCCTGCCTTGTTTCAGAAGCTGTAACCCTTCATGGCTTAAGGCTGAGTGAGCGACCTTCAGACCAAAAGCCACTAAGGAGACAAAGCTTATCTCCCTGGCAGGAGCACCGCTTCTGCTCTTTTTACTTCATCTATAACTGGCCCCCAGTGCTTGGTCGGTTAGCCAAGAGGGGAATGATTCCCCAAGAGGGGAATGATCTAAGACAAGCATGATCATGTGGAGGCCCCAGGGAAGGACTTGGGGGCTACAGCAAAAGGAGGTGATGGACCCTCACCCCTTGTCTTTGACATAGCCTGAGTCCTCATTCTGTCTGCAAAAATCTCCTCATCTCTTGGCTGCCTTACTATCCCTGCCTGCTTTAAGCCTGAGACAATGCCTTAAGCCTGAAAAATAATGCTAGTGGTGGGTATTGCCCTGTGCTGGAAAGGGTGGGTTCCCTAGGGCAATCAGGCCTAAGAAAGAATATGTAAAATCCTATGGAACCTTCTTTGTTTAGAATGCTCTCAATTAAATAAGGCTCCAAGCAAGAAGTGAGTTTTTTCCTCAAAGTTTTATAGCTCTTTAGCTATCTGACCCTGACTCAAAATAGGCCCTCAGAATTCTTTGTTATCTATCGTTTGATCCTTACTGCCCGACGATGATTAATGAGCTTTACCTGTATTTCTGTGCAAAACAAACCCAATAAAAGCCCATTGAGGAAAAGGCTCTTGGCCCATATCCTTTCAGAGATTGGCCACCTTTCCTCCCCAAAAGATCTTGTCTCAGTAGACTTATTCTCATCTGTGGCAGCCAGGGAGGCCCTGCAGGCAGAGCCCTTCCACACCCAGTAATCATTTTCCAGCCTCCTTTGCCACAAAGACATGGACACCTGACCCAGCCAGGTTTAGAATAAAAAAAAAGTAGAGGTAGCACAGGTGATTTCCGTCAGAGGTATGGGCTGTGTAACATCAGGTTCCTGGTGCATGTGGTACCATCTGGTCATGGCAGTCATCTCCTTACTAAACTCTTCTGTGAAAGACTCTGAGGCAATCGGGTGAAGTGTGGTTGGCTGCATACTTCCAAGCCTGCATGCTACATGATATCCTCTTTAAAAAAAATCTTCACCTGATAATATGTTTTATTGATTTTTAGAGAGAGGGGGAGTAAGAGAGAAATATCCATGTGAGAGAGAAACACTGATCAGTTGCCTCCCAAACGGGCCCCAACCAGGGATCAAACCTGCAACCCAGGTACATGCCCTGACCAGAAATCAAACCCACAACCTTTAGGTGTATGGGACGATGCTCCAACCAACTGAGTCACCTGGCCCGGGCTGATTTCCTTTTAGTAAATTCCTTTCCTATCTAAATCACCGCAGCCACTGTTGCTTGCAACTAAAAACCCTAATCCTAAATTTGGGTGCGACAAGCAACAGGCACTAATGTGGAATTGGCCGAGGGGAGGTGGCAGAGCAGAGGGCAGTGAAGACCTGTATTCCAAGCTGGGAAGCAGTGGCCTTCACAGTGCTATTGTAAAACATTTCGTTTACACCAAGGTTTGGCCAACTTTTTCCATAAAGGGCCAGGTAGTAAACATTTTAGGCTTAGTGATCCATATAGTTTGTTTCTTTTTAAATTAAATATATTTTATTGATTATGCTTGAACATTACAATTGTCCTATTTTCCCCCTTTTATTCCCCTTTGCCCTGCACACACTCTCCCACCCACATTCCCCCCTTCTAGTTCCTGTCCATGGGTCGTACATGTAAGTTCTTTGGCTTCTAGATTTCCTATATTATTCTTAACCACCACCCCCCATCTATTTTCTACCTACCATTTATACTACTTTTTGTCTGTACCTTTTCCCCCTCTCTCCCCCTTCCACTCCCCCACTGATAACCCTTTATGTGATCTCCATTTCTGTGAGTCTTTTCCTTTTCTAGTAGTTTCCTTAGTTTTTGTTTTTGTTTTAGTTCAGTTGTTAATAACTGTGAGTTTGTTGTCATTTTAGTGTTCATATTTTTTATTGTCTTTTTCTTAGATAAGTCCCTTTAACATTTCATATAATAAGGGCTTGGTGATGATGACCTCTTTTAAGTTGACCTTATCTTGGAAGCACTTTATCTGCCCTTCCATTCTAAATGATAGCTTTGCTGAATAGAGCAATCTTGGATGTAGGTCCTTGCTTTTCATGACTTCAAATACTTCTTTCCAGCCCCTTCTTGCCTACAAGGTTTCTTTTGAGAAATCAGCTGACAATCTGATGGGAACTCTTTTGTAGGTAACTGTCTCCTTTTCTCTTGCTGCTTTTAAGATTCTCTCCTTATCTTGAATCTTGGCTAATGTACTTTTGATGTGTCTTGGTGTGTTCCTCCTTGGGTCCAACTTCTTTGGGACTCTCTGAACTTCCTAGACTTCCTGGAAATCTATTTCCTTTGCCAGATTGGGAACTTTGCCAGAAGTTCCCCTTCATTATTTTTTCAAATAAGTTTTCAATTTCTTGCTTTTCCTCTTCTCCTTCGGGCACCCGTATGATTTGGTTGTTGGAATGTTTGAAGATGTCCTGAAGGTTCCTAAGCCGCCCCTCATTTTTTTGAATTCTTGTTTCTTCATTCTCTTCTGGTTGAATGTTTCTTTCTTCCTTCTGGTCCACACTATTAATTTGAGTCCTGGTTTTCTTCCTGTCACTGTTGGTTCCCTGTATATCTTGCTTTATTTCATTTAGCATAGCCTTCATTTTTTCCTTTACTGTGCGACCATACTCAACCAATTCTGGGAGCATCCTGACTACCAGTGCTTTGAATTGTGCATTTGATAGGTTGGCTATCTTTGTTGCTTAGTTGTATTTTTTCTAGAGCTTTGATCTTTTCTTTCATTTTGGCCTTTTTGTGTGTGTGTGTCCGTGCACTCATTATGTAGTAAGGGGCAGAGCCTTAGGTGTTCACCGGGGCAGGGCAATCCACAAGCTGGATTGTGATGCCGTATGTGGGGAAGGGGTCTGCAAGGGAACAGTGCAGCTTGTTCTGCTCTCTGACAGTTTTCAGTCACTTTCCCTCCTTCCCGCAATCAAATTGGGCCCTTCTGGTGCTGATTCCAGGGTGGGCTGGTTTGTGTACATTCAAGGACTCTGTGGGTCTCTCCAGTGAACTCTCCTGTGAGACTGGGAATTTCTTCCACTGCCACCTCAACCCCCACAGGTGTTTTAAGTCAGAGGCTTTAAGGCTTTATTTTCCCATGCTGGAACCCCAGGTTAAAAGGTCTGTCTCACTCCCCAGTTGTTCCTCCAGGCTTATCTGCACACAAATGTGGGACCGCCCTCTCTTCCCAGCTGCCCTCTCTGCCCCTCCTACAGGTCTGAATGAATGTTTCTTTTTTAACTCCTTGGTTGTCAGACTTCCATACAGTTTGATTTTCTGTCAGTTTTGGTTGTTTTTTGTTTTTAAATTTGTTGTTGTCTCCGATGCCTCCATCTTGGCTGGAAGTCCCATATAGTTTCTTTTGTAACTGCTCCACTCCGTCTCTGACAGCAGACAGGAAGAGTATGTAAATTAGTGGGTGTGGCTGTGTGCCAATAAAACTTTACAAAATCAGGCAGTGAGCTGACTTAGTCCATGGTCCACAGTTTAACCCGGTTTAAATTACCACCAATTTTACACCAACCATGTCCCTGTGGGTATTGTAGTAGCAGAAAAAAAGCTATAGAAACACATCTGAATGTTGCCATTTCCCTCCTACAAGAGAAAGTCAATCTTAGGGCAAACATGGTCCATCTAATGGCAAAATGGAAGAAAAGATGGCTCTACTGACATTCTTTCTGCCTGACGCTTACAATTTAAATGGATGGAGACTCCAAGGATTTGGAGATTTGCAAGGATGGGCAAGGCAAGTTCTAAACTGGACATAGAATTTCATACTCCAGAATAAATCATGCTAGGCCACAAAAATTTGGTGAATGAAAAAGATAATTTCCTGAATGGAAGAAATATGAAACTGAGTTGTCGGAAGTGCCTCCATCCACCTGCCACATGGACAAAAATCAAAAACCCAGAAATAAAGAATATGGACAGTGGCCCCTGGAAGTTTGAGTTTGCAACCCCTGTGTGGAGATAAGGACATGTTGGTTTCCTAAATGGAGAACTTTTATTACTTTTGGTATTCCTTAAATAATAATTAAAGATCTCTCAATCTCTATTTTTTTTGCTGAATTTTCCTTTTGTTCAGTGGAGTGTATGCTGTGCAGATAGTCATATTTTCTTCATCACTCAACCTTTTAAAGCAGAAGACTATTAAATACAAACTAAAGAACAAGACTGGCTAGGAAATATCAGGGGAAACACTTTGTAAAGTATGATCATCTAATCACTGTGCTATATACCTGACACTAATACAAAATAATATTGCATGAAAACTGTAATTGGAAAAAAAAAAACAGAACTAGCTCCGTAATTGGCAGAGACTATTGCAAAATGAGAATGTGAGGCTGTTTGCTGAAATATCATTAAGAATTTTAAAATGGCCCTGGCTGGTGTGGCTCAGTGGATTGAGCGCGGGCCTATGAAGCAAAGGGTTGCTGGATCAATTCCTAGTCAGGGCACATGCCTGGATTGTGGGCCAGGTTACCAGTAGGGGGTGCTCAAGAGGCAAACACACATTGATGTTTCTTCTTTTTCCCTCCCTTCCCATCTCTCTACAATAAGTAAATAATATCTTTTTTATTAAAAAATGTTTAAAGATGATAGCAGATCATTAACCAAGTGTGGGACCCTTTCAAAGCACAGGTTCTGTGCAGCTGCTGGTTATTCATCTAGGACCCCCCCCCCCACAACACCTCCCCTCACTGGAGGCAAAGGCAGTGGAGGTTGTCGTGTGATAAGCTGTCAGATATCAACTGCTTGCTGCAAAAACCACATTATCTCCTTGATTAGAAACCAAATGACTCCTCTGCCACTCAAAACGGCAGCATTTTAACTTAGACGTTGGCACAGTTGGGAACATTAGAGTCTGTTTCTCTGGGTTCTTTGGTCTTAAACTTTATTTTTCATGTACAGTTTCAGATTATACAAAACATAGAAAATGTACTATTTTTAAGGCACATTAAGTAGAAAGTATCTAACTACCCTAAGAATCACATTTGTCCACAAACCAAGATCCAAACTTAACCTCTAGGCCTTTCCCTGCATTTCCCGATCACCACCGCTCCCCCGGTATACAAAACTGTCCAATGCACTGTATGGTAAGTAGCCTTTGAATCATTAGCGAGTTTAGTAATTCCCCACCCAGGCAGATTTTAAATGATGCTACAGCTCCTATCTAACCTACTGTGTTTAGTGTGTCTACATACAGGCATGGGGGTCCAGGTGTCCTCATCATTAGTAATACAGAGCATCCCAGGACCCCAGCCTGTTGATTAGGGATGCACACAGGCAAATAACCTGTAGCAGAGCATGGAGGAGTGGGGGAAGTCTCCGATTTTCCTGTATTCAGGTATAAATATCTACATTCACTCAGAGCAACAAATCAATTTTCCAAACTCATTTGAACAGAGACCCAAAGTAATTTTAATGCAAATAACAAAACGAGTTAGTCTGTCTCCATCCATAGCCCCTCAATGAAAGAATTACAGTACTGTATAAAAATGTCCTAACATGCGCAAACTACAGCTCCTTCAAATACAGTTGTTACCAGTAATATATTTGGCCCTAATGTTTGCTTCTTGGATGTCTCAGTTAATTTTATTTGTTGTTCTTGAATAACTGATAGTAAGCACCAAGTGAGGGCTGATTCTGCCTACAGGTAAAAAATTTGGGTGTTTTCTCCCTCACAGCCTCACCTTCCCCACCTCCCCAATGCAGGGAGGCAGCGCTCACGTTTCACAAAATCTCAGCATCGCAATGACTGTGGAAGCTGAATGCTACACAGTAGTGGCAACTGGCCAGGAAAATCCACGGGGTCATTTCAGATTCTCAAGCACCCCTGAAGCTTTGGAGAAGGAAATTCATGCACTGATTAGGGATTAGGCTTTCCATATAGCTGGTTCTGAGGGTTGTTTGTTTTCCATTGTGGCCACCAGGAAACTATAGAAAAGCCCGCTGGGTAGAAAGCTTGGGGCATGAGAGACCCACCTTCCTCCAGAGGCCTCATGGAGCATCCTGCAAACCCCAAGGGTGTGACATGCTCCTAACCACCACATGCCTAATGAGTCTGCCAGGAGGTGGCCATCAGTCTTGTCATTGGCCCAGTGTCACCCTGCACTGTGCCAGTGGCCTCTCTGTGGAGAGGGTGTCCTGTCTCAGGGAGGATGTCTGGGTTTACTCCCTCCTGTGTTTTCAGAGCTTCACACAGTGCCTGGAGCATAGTAGGCATGGAGTCCTCTGTTGCAAATGAACAAATGATAAATGAATGAATGAGTAAATGGACAGAAAAATCAAATCCTGCACTGAAGAGGAGTCCACAGTGGCCCTAATACTATTCAAAACAGATGCCTCCCCAGCTACAGTGGAACTGGGCTGACATCATGCCACTCAGCAGGTCAAGTGCAGAAACATTGAAGTAGCACCCGAGCTCTGAGACATGGCCGAGGTCGCACGCCAGCCCAGGCATGACTCCTCAGCAGCATGCTCAAAACACCAGAGGGAAAAGGCAGTGAGGTGCAAACAGCTTCTTCAGTAGGGCACTTCCCAGGGTCCCCAACAGAGCCCCACATCTCATGGTGCTCTTACACCTAAAGACAAACTCCCCAAAGCTGACTTTCTCAGCATGGTCTCAGAATTGTCTGGAGTGTTCGCCCACCCAGACCCTGGCAAGGCTGATGCCCATTAAAGTGAGCACTATGGCAATACGAGTTCCTCTGCTTCAATGGCTGTCGGGACCCAGGGATGCTCCACGGAAGTAAATGTTCTCTTGGCAGAACAGATGATGCTGCCCAGCAAATGCCATCCGTAGGGGCTGAGTGAGTGCTATTTAGGCTGACCTCCATGCCTCCTGCAGAATTTAAAGATAGGCAGGCACGCAGCATGTTCCCTCCCACCCCACCAGCCTCGATTTTCAATCCTTGGTTGCATTCTTTGCAGCCTTCATCAGTTTTCAATTAGTTTTCCTAATTAGTTTTTAATCTCTCCTCCATTAAACAATGAGCCCAATAAGATTATCTCAACATGGTATCTCCATGCCTGGCACATACAAGCATTCCATAACTTTCGCTGATGAAGGAAGGAAGGAAGGAAGGAAGGAAGGAAGGAAGGAAGGAAGGAAGGAAGGAAGGACTGAATGAATGAATGGTGGATGGGTCCTCTGAGGCTCTAGAAAGGGGGTTAGTAAAGCCCAGCCAGTTTAATAGGCAGGGCAGGAAGAGAAGGGAGAGGTCCTCTGACTTAGGGTTATAAGAAGGCTGCGCTCCCCAGGGTGGCTGGCTATTGGGGTGTGTGGCCTGGGACTGGAGTTCTGGTGATCCAGATGAGAACAGCTGTGGAAGAGACAGTGAAGGATCAAGAGCTGATGGAGACCAGGACTTTGGTCTGCAGTGGGGTCTAGACCCACCTCCCTAGCTTGATATGATGAGATCCTTCACATTTGTTAGGCAGCTCTGCTCCCTTCGCCCAGGGGCTGTGGTCCTTGACTTTAAGGCATATGAGCATCACAGAGGAGCTTGTTAGAAATGTAGGCTTCCAGGCTCCATCCCTGAAGACTGTGATTTTGTAGGTTTGGGGTAGGGTTGGGGAGGGGACCTGATAGTCTGCATTTTACGAGATGTGCTAGTGATCCCAGGTTGAAAGTCTTTGCCTCAGGGTGAGCCCACGTCTGACCACTGCTCCCCTCACTTCCCTAAGGCAAGCAGGTGATGTTATCTGCAAATTTGGGTGGAGTTTTCTGGACCCAGCCCACTCTAGGCAATTAGGGGCTATGGTCTGGATATAGACAGAACAGCAGGGTCCGTACGTGTTATTCACATGGAACTTTGCTAAATACCTGAGGTTTCATCCCTCACCTGTTACCCCCCTACCACGGCCCACCTTCCACCACCAACACCAAGAGATTCGGGAAGGGAAGCTGAGGTGAAAGGAGCTTGGTGTGGCCCAAACCTAGGGGAAGACACGCCCCAGACCTGGCTTTCTTGGTCTCTTGTTACCCCATCACATCTCTGTGGTTAAGAAACATCCTGCTGAACATTTTTGGATTTGAGCACTGCTGGATTTTTGGCTTTGTGTTGTTGAGGCCTTAGGATGGGCAGGAGTTCTGAATTCCAGCTTTCATAGTCTATCCTCTGATCTCAAGAATGCAAAAACTCTTCTCTTTTTTTGGCTTTTAAAGGAAACAGTATGTTTGCTAGAAAAACCACAAAAAAAATGATTATATACAAAATGGTTATCTGAATGTGGATTTTGTACTGCGGTGAAATCAACTGAGCTTCTGGCGTCTATTTGCGCTTCCTCAGTATCAGGTACATGAGGCCGCTGATAAAGGTGAATGCAAAGGCCACCCACGCCAGGATGAAGGAGTAGCCATAACTGCCATCCGAGGTCTGGCTATAGAGATAGGCGTTTCCCTCGTGAAGATCTTCCCGTCGGTCTGTGTAGATGGAAGCTGCAATCATGACACACAGACCTGTCAGAGAAAGTGAAGACACCAGTAAGTCACGGACTGTGGTGTGTCCCAGGCACCTCAAAGGACTTCGGCCAGAGGGGAAGATCAATTTAAGCTCTTATTATTATAGGCATTTACTTTAGTCTGTTGGAAATACTATAACTAATATTTGCAGCAGATTATCACTGCCTCCCCTATTACCATTTTTCTTCCCATTCTTGCTTCGCTGAACCTAATTTTTATTTGGGCAGCCTTGTGCCCAGCCCAAAGGGTGAGTCATAATTGATCTAAGCCAGAGGTCAGCCTGACAGTAAATGGTTTAAGCTTTGTAGGCCCCGTACAATTTCTGCCCCAACTACTCAGCTCTGTACTTTCCCTGGAATATGACTTTAGATACTGTTAGGTCAGGATGGAATGTCTGGAGCTGTGGCAGCCTTTGTGGGCCATGAGAGTGTTATCAATGACACTCTGAAGATAATAACATAAAGGAATGAAAAGAATGGGGGGTTGTGATTCTGCTGTTGAGCTGCCAAACAAACTCTGGCACCTTTCACCTCCAGGCTATCTGTTGTACAAAAAAAAGCGAAAGTCTCTGCAGCTGATGTCATTGTTACCCGGATTTTTCTCTTATTTGCAGTCAAAAGCATCTTACTTGATTTACAGACATTAATGCTAGGATGAAGTTAAGTACCCTGATTTTCCTTGGAGGACCTATTGCCTCCGTGGCCAGAGGTAGGACTGTCCAACAGGGTGCCCAGCCTTTGTCTGGCTCAGGGTTGAGTGTATGACAATCTGCTGATCAAACTGTTGTTTCTGGAGATTTCAATCTAGAGCAAAGTCACACTGTCTTCTGATCTGCACTGATTCTGCCAGCATCTCTCTGAAGCGACTGCCCATCAGTTTCTGCTGCCTGGATCCTCTACACAAGGCCAGGTTTTCAGCTCTTCCTTTGCTTCTTGCAAGCTGCCCTAGCATCGCATCTCTTTGGGAAGTTAGAGCATCTGGTGCTCGCACAGGAACATCACTGATTGCTATGGTGTCTAAACACTGCAGGGTTGGGCAGAAGGAGGGGGGCAGGTCCTTGGACCAGAAAATGGTCAAATGAGTTGTTGTGGATGGAAAAGGAGGGTGTGACTCTTGTATTAAAACCAAGGAATTTTCCTATGTAGGTATATATTAGGTAACAAGTTTTCACTAAATGGCCTTAGTGACAAATAGACAAATAGAGACATGACTGAAAATAAACTTCAGTGGGTAATTCCCCAACTCCCCCTCTGCCTGTTAAGTGATGAGAATCACTTGCCTTTCATGGGGTGAGTAGTGGGGTATCCATGCCTCTTACTGGGAGATACAAAGAAAGTAAAGGGAGAGGCAGAGCAGACGTCCCCCACTGGTGTCCTTGGGCAGGTCGCATTGCTCCTCTGCCTCACTGGGTCTGGGTCACTGCTCCCAAGTGCTGGGCTTATGGGTGAGAATAAAAATCCTCAGGTTCTAACCTAGCAGAGTCTGATTCAAGAGGTCAAGATGGGGCTAGGGGCCTGCACTTTAGACAGGTGCGCAGAGGGATCCTTGCAGACTGGGGGCTTGGGGACCAAGTGACCTTCCAGGGTCTTTTATACTCAAAACGCTTTAATCCTCTGCCTGTGCCCTGGGTTGTCAGTCAACGTGCCTCAAGAGGATGTTGTGTGTGACCAATCACCCCACTCTGCCCAGGACTGAGGGTTTCCTTGGGATGCAGGACTCAATATTAAAATAGATTGTCCCATGCACACAGATTAGCCTGGTGTGCTGGTAATGTACTGAGGACTGGACTTGACCCTGGGATGCAAGCAGTGAAGTCTGGGAGGCAGTCAGGTAGGAGGAGGTGGGGGTTAGAACCAGGCAGCGGGCTGGTTCCAAAGCCCAGATTTCTCATCCTCATCAAGCCACCCATCGACTCCAGACTGGAAAGGACAATGGAAGTGGCTTCCAGTTTTGTCATCAGAAAGCTTTAACTCGTCACTGAGAAACAACAGCAAACGATGATGTGGCACAAGGCTTCTTCACCTGATTTCAGCCTCATTAAATTCATTAAGTAGAAAAAAGTGCTCTGAGACACCTTTTTCCTATAAGTCACTCCAGGATGGAGGCTATGTCTTGTTTGTTCATCTCTATATCTCCAAGTCCCCAAAGGCCTGGCCCACAGTGGGCACTTCTAACACCAACTAGCCTTAAAAACAGACAAACAAATCTGTTGATGGCTTCCCACCAGCTTGGAACAAAGACCCCCATCCTAGAAGGCTTGCAACATCCCAGGAAGTCCGGCCTCAGCTGCCTCTCTGGAGTGGTTTTGCAGCCCCCACTCCCTCTCCCACAGCTCCACACTCCAGCCCCACAGCCAGCGCTCAGTCTCTCCTGTCACAGGGCTTTGGCTATGCTGTTCCCTCTGCCTGACACACTGCTCCTTCCCCTCTGTACCAACACAGCACATTCTATAGCCAACTCCTACTCACTGGTGAGATTCAAACTCAGAAAGGATGATTTGTCTGACCCCCTAACTAACCTCCAAATTCTGAAATATAAAACGTCCCATGGTGGCACCATGGCACAGCAGCCAACGTCTCCTTTCCAAATCCTGACCTGCCATGCCACTCCTGGCTTCTTTTTGTGGGTGGCTGCGAAGGGAGTGCTTATTCTAGGATGCCGTCGTTTCACTTACATGACATGAGCTGGATGATGGAGGTTAAAACAAACCTCTCTCCCTGCTTGAGGCGGAAGAGCTGGAGCAAGAAGATCAGAAAGGCAATGCAGCACAGAATGGTGGACAGGATCATGGTGGCCTGGACTGCCTGCATCGTGGAGTAATCTGTGGGGAAGGACAAGAGCACACGACTGAGGACCACAGGCCGCCTGGGCCCCCGGGGTGCAGTGACAGTGACAGCTCGAGTGGGTGCGATGAGACAAAAGTGCAGGTTGTCAGGTTGTGGTCTGCACAGCACGAGCACAGGGTGTCCAAGAAGTCTACCCAACCCCTCTCCCTCCAGTGTCCATTCGCGCACTTGACCTGATGATACTGCGTCCTTATCTGGACCTTATCAAGAACCACCTGCACTGCATTCCCCCTGGGCTGGGTCACTGCTCCCAAATGCCAGGCTCTTCGGTGGGGGATTTTTTTTAAAAAAGTACGAATCCTCAGGTTCCAATCTGGCAGATTCCAGTTCAAGAGATCAGGGTGGGACAGGTCAGGACAGGGTGTCTGCACTTTAGAGAGACCTCTGGAGGGATTCTTGGGGCTCATAGGACTGAGCGACCTTCTGTAAGCACATTGAAGAGAGTGAGCCTTCCGCTCTTGCTATTTAAGAAAATGAAAGTTATGTTTCTTTCAGTTGGCCTTAGAGAGTGGGGCTGAGGGGAGGCAGGTTGGTACAGGGGAGTTTGACCAGAGAAAGGAGCCAGTCTTGGGGGAGGGCGCTGCACAGGGAAGGACGCAGCTGGAGCCCTGCAACACAGGTGTACATAGGGGTCAAGTACCAGGACTGCATGGGCCTCAGTTTACTCACCTGTGAAATGGGGATAGTAATAGCTTCTGCCTCAGCAGGCTGGGAGAGTGGGTAAACTTACCCATGGAAGGGTTTTAGAGGTGCCCCCCAAAGGAAGTTTTTTATAGAGGCCGGATGTTATCACCAGGAGACAGTAAGATGGGTGAAGGGACAGAGCCCAAAGCAGCAGAGGAAAATCTAAGGAAAACCTTTTTGTTTTCTTTTTTCAATCTTGTCTAAAAAGTGACTAGAGGAAGGCATAATTCCCAGTACTTAATGACCTTTTAGAGCAATGGCTCTTAGTGCATTCTGGCTGCACGTTAGGATCACGGGAGAGCACGGGGCCCCTCCCCCATTGCTTACAGTCAGAAACGAAGCCAGACCCCCCGCCCCCCTCATACCACATGATCGAATCATATGAAGTCCAAGAACAGGCAACCCGGAACTGTAGTGACAGAAGTCAGAGTGGTTGCCCTGGGGGCAGGGGTGGTGAGAACTGAGCTGAAAGGGGCCCAAGGGAACTTTCTGGGGTGATGGAATGTTCTCTATCTTGCCTTTGACAGCAGTTACATGGGTATATACATAATTGTCAGAACTCTTTGAACCGAAACCTTAAGAAGTCTGCATTTTCTTGCTTGCAAATTATAGCTCCGTTACAAAGCTATCCAGCAGACTACACTGAAATGAAATAAATGAGAATCTTTGGTGGGGTTGGGATCAGACATGCAGGGGCCTGTCAAGTTTAATGCACGGCCAGGAGAATGGCCCTCTGGCTTCCAACGCTGCTTCCTAAATTCGCCCAATTCTAGGAACCACCTGGGGGCTTATTAAAACTGCAGATCCCTGGGCCTGTCTTCCTGAGGTTGTGATGCAGGCAGTAGGGCGGGCACCAGGAGTCTGTTTTGAGCAAGTACCTCGGGTGATGGGACAAATATGGAAAACATGGCTGCTGTGGACTGAATGTTTGTGTCACCTCCCAAATTCATAGGTTGACATCCTCACTCCGAGTGTGAAGGTGGGGCCTTTAGGAAGTGATTATTAGGTCATGAGGGTGGAGCCCTCAGGAATGGGATTAGTGCCCTTAGAAGAACAGACACAAGAGCGTGCTTCCTCTCTCTGCCCTCTGCCAGGAGAGGACACGAGAACCAGGCTGTCTGCAAACTAGGAAGAATGTCTGCTCTTCCCAGACACCAGATCTGCCCGCACTTGTGAGATGTAAATAAATGTCTGATGTTTAAGCCACCCAGTCATTGGTGTCCTGTTACGGCAGTCTGGACATATTAAGACAATGGCTTTAGGAAAAAAAGGGCACAAGATCTTAAAATAGGGTTTCTCAAAACAGGGGGGCAGGTGCAGAAGATTCTGCTGGTGGCCAGTGAGCTTAGTATAGGCGGAGTACAATCAGCTCACCAACCCACGAAACTCGCCTAAAGAGAGGATGTTCACTTTGCCCTTGTTTGAATGTCTAAGGACCTGAAGAAAAAGTTTTCCAGCCGCCACTTTAGCACTTTTATAACACTCGATAATATCTGGGTTCAGTGGTTGTTTTGTTTTTAACAGGAAAGAACCAGAAACAATGTTAGGGCCTTCAAGAGGTAGGTACATCTGGTGAGGATTTAATAACATTTGGTTTTCAGTGTGGCATTTTAAAAATATTTTATTTATTTCTTTTTAGAGAGAGGGGGAGGGAAAGAGGGAGAGCTGCCTCTTGCACACCCCCAGCTGGGGACCTGGTCCACAACCCAGGCTTGTGCCTTGACCAGGAATCGAACCGGTGATTTTTCAGTTTGCAGGCTGGTGTTCAACTCATTGAGTTACACCAGACAGGGCCAATGTGGCATTTTTAATAAATTTTCCTTCCTTTAGAGTACCAGTGGTACTACAGAGAGTGGTAGGTACCAGATTACCATTTATGTGGGGATGTAAATTTCCTTTTGAAGTAGATGAATGTAAGGAAAAAGTGAACTATTGTAAAGTAGGGGTCGGCATGTTTTTTTCTGTAAAGATCAGACCAGTAAATACTCCAGGTTTTATGGCCATGTAGTCTCTTGTTGCATTTTCTTGTTTTGCTTTTTTGAGTTTTTTTGTTTTGTTTAAAAAGTTTTTTTAAAGAGCTTTTTTTGTTTAGACAAAAAAACTTAAAAAATGTAAAAGCCCCACTTATCTAATTGGACTGAACTGGGCTGGCAGTTTGCCAACCCCTGTTATTTTAAGGAAAAGTAACTGGGAATTAAATCATTCCAGGTAGAGACTATGGAGCACACATAATAGAGGCTTGGAAACACTGCCACAGAGCACAGCCAGCCCTCCCAGCTGACCACACACACTGGCGACAGCTGGGGCTCGCAGAGCACGGGGAAGAATGTTTGCTCCCAGGGTCAAGGCTTAGCATAGCAGATAGACTGATACGGGGAGGGTGTGGCAGGGACCACATGATGAGGTTTAAAATGCAGGTTGCAGAATCGATCACGTCTAGATTGAAATCCTGGCTCCATCGCTTATTCCTGGATATGTATCCTTGGGTTTCCAGTCTGCCTCAGTTTCCCCATCTAATGCGACCCATGGTCCCTGCTGGATAGGGCTATGAGATCACTTATGTAAAGGACTTAGCCCTGTGCCTTGCAGTAAACCTTTAGCAAATGATGCCTTCTGTTGCTATTTTTACTGCTTGTATAATGAGTGTTGACATTGTTATTGATGGAAGGTGAGACTTTAGGAGCCAGTGAGCAGGGTCCCTTGCCCCCTAAATAAGATTGCCCTAATTTGGCAAACAAGCAAAAACCAACACAAAAAACCAGGATGCACATTAAATCTGAATATCAGCTAAACAACAAATAATTTTTTTAGTATAAGTATGTTCCGTGCTAATAGTTAGGGCATACTTAAACTAAGTTACTTATGGTTTATCTGGGATATCAAATTTAACTGGACATCCAGTATTTTTTCAGGCAATAGGGCCCAAAGTGCCTCTTCCATCAGTTTTATAACAGAAAATTGAACCATCCTCTCCAGAGTGAAGGAGAGTGGTTGGCATATTTTGAAGTGGAATTTTCTGCATTTGCAAAGCCTTTTGGAAGTACTTCAGCTTATGTACAGAGGCAGGCAGGGCAGGTGCATTGCTATTACCTACACTTACAGCTGAGGATATTGATATTCTTAGTGCTCAGATGACCTGCCCCAAGTTAAGATCACACAGCTCACAAAGGAGCCAGCTCTCAAGGCTCTTAAGGTGCAGGGAAGTGACACAAATATCAGAGACAGTCTCCGAGTCTATGTAAAGGGGAGGCTTGGATAAGTGAGAAGGGGGACAAGATTCTAGATGAGGGCTGGAGTTCAGAAAGCATGAGAAAGGAAGCTCCACTTAGCCGAGAAACAGAGAAGGGTGGGCACGGCATAGGTGGGGTTGGAGTCCCCTGCAGCCCCTGCCTTCTCCACACCCCTCCTGTCTCCAGTCCACGCTGTCCCTGCTGCAGCCTGCTGAGCCCCCAGCCAGGCCCCTCCCAGAATGCCGGGTGAAGGAGAGGATGAGAAGTCAGACAACATGGGAAGCCTTTCTCCTGAGCATTCTCTTTTTCACCCAGCCTTCTCAATCAGCTTTACACTCACTTGAATAGTTGTCACCGATTTCTGTACAATTTGAGTTGTTGACGCAGACTTTCCAGACATCTGCAAAAAATCCTTCTCCTACCCACCAGGCCTGTAACACAAAATGGAAACAAAGGGAAAGGCTGATTGTTCATTATGAAAATACTGACTCCTGATAAAGTGTGAGGCACTGGGGTAAATGAATGTTTGGGACCAGTGCTTCTCAATCTGCAGTGTGCATGCAAGCCACCTGGGGATCTGGTTAAAATGCAGATTCTGATTCAAGAGGTCTGTGATGGGGCCTGAGATTCTGTATTTCCAACAAGCACCCAGTTGATGTCCACACTGCTGGTCTCTCCATGTGATGGAGGAGAGAAGATGAGGCTCAGTGGGTGGTAATAAATACACAGTGGTAATAAATTCCACAAGCCTTACAAGCCTGAGAAAAGGATGAAATTGGGGAGGGGAGAAGCCTGTCATGGATGCTCTCCCACCTTCAGAGAGAATGTTTCATTCTCTCTGTCCTTCTGCTGTCTCCACCTGCCCCAGAAGGCCATCCTTCTGCTTTCCATCCCCCCAAAGCCTGGAATCTCCCCCACCCATTCATCCAGTCAACAGAGGTTCATTGAGCTCCCACTATGTGCCCCACTACAGCACCAAGCACTCCTAACTCATGAATTCCCTGTGACTCAGGCTGGTAAGAAGACTGAGTCTTCTCAGTGAGACACTGTGACATAAATACACGGGAGTCTTCCATAGTATTAAGCAGTGCTGTGGCTTATAGCTTTTCTGCCCCTAATGTCCGTCTATCCTGTTCACTATGCCTGCAACCATTTCAGAACCCCAAAGGACCCAATGCAAGAAATAGAAAAAGGAAATTCTAAAAGAACATTCAGTACCATTTATTTCACTATGCATGGGCCTTTCGGATAATGGCAAGGTGCAAATCCTTTAACCTATGGCATCGATGTGATCCCTGCCCTACCCACTCAGGGCGGCTATTCAAGAACCTGCAGGAACCCAAACCTGATCGCTGTACTTATTTGCCCTTACAGGATATAAAGCCAGGAGGTCTGGAATGGGTCAAATCCCAGCTCTGCCACTCACTGCAGTGAGTGGCAGGTACCCTCACTGCCCTGAGGTCCAGTTCCCTCATCAGAAGCAGTGCTAGGAGAGGACCCATCTCAAAAACTTAAGGTGCAGATCAACCGAGATGCTGCATGTAGAAAAGGCCTAGCCTAGACCAGAGTAAACGCTTTCTAAGTGAAAGGAGGTCTAATGGTCTATGTTATTACTGTTAGGATGATTAACTGTATACAGGCAGAGCTGATGGCCACTTGCAAGGTGCATTTTTTAGCTTCTACAGCAGTGTTTCTGACTCCAAATGTTGCTGCAGTCTGAAATTATTAGGATTGACACCAGGCATTTGGATCGAGGTGTGGGCCATAGAGGACCTTTGGTAAAAAGCTTATTTCCTGCTGGGAGGGATATTAATGCCAATAGGTTACTTACCAAGTACATTCTTGCCATATAGCTGAGAGATTGATACTAAAGGGAAAGAGTTAACTTTTTCATAGGAGCATGGGCAGAGTCGAAGAAGTTCCCAGTGTGGGCTCTGCTAGGAGGGCATGGCCAGGTGGGCCAGCAACAAGGGATCCTGTCAGTAAGGACACATCCGAAGCAGGAGGACCAGAGATTGCCTGGGATGGGTCACCTATGGTGAGGGAGGGGTGTCTAGGGTATTGGTCCTCAACTAAGGATGATTCTGCCCGCCACAAGACATTTGGCAACGTCTGGAGACATTTCTGGTTGTCACAAGTAGGGGTGGGAGGGCTGCTGGCATCTAGCGGGTAGAGACCAACAATGAGGCTAAACCTCCAATAGTGCACAGGATGGCCCCACGACAAAGAATGATCCAGTGCAAAGTGGCAACAGTGCCAATGCTGAGTCATTGACCTCAGTTAAGAGGGCTGAAATTATGCTGAGTCCTCAGATGGCTTCCTACAACCATGGCATCATGCCAGGCTCTCTGGAGGAATCAGGGATGAGAGGACAACGTCCCTGCCCACCAATATATGGATGCGCCAGACCCCAACACTTAGGCCAGAGCCCTCAGGCCCAGGTTATGGGGACAGGCATGCCTTGGTAGGCAGGACAACCCCAGATTGTAATCACCTTGGGCAGTTCTCAATCCTGCTATTGACTGTAGGATGCAGGGGTTCTGGGATGGTCAGAAGTAAAGGGAACTTACATTGTCGATGGTGGCGATGAAAAGCAAGGCCGCGGAGGTGATGTGGAAGATGATGATGAAAGCCAGAAGCACCAACATTTTCACAGGGCACGGTAGGGCGAGGGAGAGAGAGAGATGTGCTAAAGAGGGTGTGAGAAATTCAGATTTGTCAACAGCAAAATTGAAATAAAAACATAAGCAACTTTGAATGGGGTTTTGGAAAATAAAAAACAGCTCTTTCTGCCTTTTCTTGCTTGCAGACTAAGGTCTAGCTCAGACAAAGTCTAGCTCTTCAAAGCTGTTCTTTGTTGCACCCAAACACCAAATATTCCCTGTGGAGGATCTGGGGTGAGGACCAGTTAGAATCCCTCATTCAGAAAGGCATCACTGTGTGTGAGCTAAAATGCTGTTTGGATCTCCCACCCACCAGGCAATGCTCTGGGAATTTTACAGCACCAGAGGAAGCTCACCCTCTGAGTTGAGTGTTCATTATCACAGTCCCTGCTGACTAATAAAGCAGAAGTGATCATGATACAAAAAGACTTCCTAGTAATCTGACAGTTTATATAATTAATCCCCTCTCAAACACCCCTCCTCTTAATATTTATTCTCATTAGAACATCTGACCACAAATGCACCATGTGGCAGACAGCTGCCATTCAACTTTTCTCCTTGGAGCATGGGAAGACTGCATTTCCCAGACCACCTTGCAGTTAGGTTGGACCTTGTGACTAATTCTGGCCAATGGGCTGCAAGCAAAGGGTGACATTGCTGGTCTGAAGCATTTCTGGGTTGAGAAGCAGGTGAGAGTTCTTCCTGCTCCCTCCCCCTGATGAAGTAGTTGGGATGGTGCAACCACAATACATTGAAGCCTCACACTTTGGACAGATACCATGATTGAGAAATAAGCCTTTAGATATTAAACAACTGAGATCTCAGAGTAAATTTTTTACTATGGCTGGATAGTCTAAATAACATACAACAAGAAGCAACTGTAAAAACTAAAAATCTTGCAAGAGAATTAGGGTTGTACCAAGTTGATGAAAGTGACACTAGAGAACCACTCAGAAGGCACTAAAGGCATTAATAAGCAAGGACTTGTCTGAGGTGGACTTGTTAGCAATAAAAGAAGAAAAAGATAAATATGGATGATGTTGGGGAAAAAAGCATTCAAAAGAATGATTTAGATATCAAGGAATTAAAAGTCACCCTTGGAAAAAGTGGCCAAGATTTCAAACATTTTCACAAACATTACTTTCATCTTGGCCGAACGACAGGCAAAGGTAAAGATGTCACATCAACCAGTCTAGTTGGAAAAGTGAACACTACCAAGCCCTGAAATCAACACTTCATTTCATTCGTTCTTCATTCATTCCAGTAATTTGTGATGAGTTACTATTACTAAAGTTTTATAGAATGTAACATTTTTAATTTCACTTACAAAAATATTGTCCAAATCAGACCTTGGTTTCATTATTTATGATGTCATAGTGATACCAGTTTTAAGTGGATTAGTTTTATTTTTTAAGTCTCTCTCCCTCCAAACACACACACACACACACATACACACTTATTCTGAATCTTTTGAGAGTAAGTTGCGTACATCATACTTCTGTGTGACTAAATATTGTGGTGTGACTCTCTCTGAAAAACAAGAATGTTCTCTTACATAACCACAATAGATATGCACGATTAAGAAATTTCGCATAGCCCAAACTGTTGTGGCTCAGTGGGTTGAGCACTGTCCCTCAAACTGAAAGGTCACCAGTTTGATTCCTGGTTAGGGCTTATGCCTGGGTCTCAGACCAGGTCCCCAGATGGTTCTCTCCTTCTCCCTTCCTTCCCCTCTCTCTAAAAATAAATAAATACAATCAAATTTTTAAAAAGAAATTTTGAATAGTATAATGCTATTATCTAACCTACAAACCATATTCAAATTTCTTCAATTATCCCAATAATGGCCTTAGCTATTTCTTTTCTGCTTGAGGACAAATCCAAAATGATGATGCATTTTGTTTTCATGTCTCTTTAATATAGAATGGTTCCTCAGCCCTTCCTGGCCTTTCATGACACTGATATTAAATAAGAGTACTGACCTTTATTTTGTCAAATGTCCCTCAATCTATCTGATGCTTCATAACGACTGGACTTGGGGTTTGCTCCTTTGGTAGGAATACTGCATAAGCAACGTGTCCTCCGTGTACGCTTATCCCACCAGGATGCACAAGATGTTGGTCTTCTCATTAGTCGTTATGCTAACTTTGATAAAGTGGCTAAGATCCACCAGATCTATCCGTTGTATATTTCTCATTTGTAATTAAAAAGCAATTTGTGTGTGTACGAGGGCATATGTTTTATTGAGGTAAAGTGTACATAATATAAAAGTTATCATTAGTGACCTTTAGTATATTCACAACATCCAATGGCTGTATATCCTTCACCATTGTCTAGTTCTAGAACATTTCATCACTGCAAAAGAAAACCCTGTACATATTAATTAGTAGCTTCTTATTCATCTCTCCATTTAGCTCCTGGCAACCACCGATCTACTTTCTATGGATTTGCCTATTCTGGATACTTCATGTAAATGAAATGATAAATACCGTCCTTTGTGTCTGACTTCTTTCACTTAGGACAATGTTTCATCCATGTTGGAGAGGTATTTTAAACAGCGTAGAGATTTGATCTCTCATTGAAATGTCACTCCACTAGTTTGAGCATCCACTGATACTTCTGAAATAGAAGCATGAAAAAAGCCTTTTCCTCATACTAGCTCTCCCACCTAGAGAGCTGCACTGCACAAAACCCTCCCCACTTTATCTGTTAACTCTCCTCCCTGACCTTGCTCACTCCCTCCTTCCCTGACCAAGGCCATTCTTTGAGACCCAAGAGTCACTAACAATGAGCCAAACCTGTGTGCCTGCAGAGCTCAGTCTGGGCAGTTGCAGCTGCAACTCGTGCATTGTCATTTGGAAGGACCCGGTGAACTAGCTCAGATTCTTCCAATTCTTTTAAAAAGAACAAATCCCCCTTTGTTTAGGCCTGCGTCATTCTTAGCTGCCAGCATATGCTGCCTCCAAAGAGATGTGTTTCTGACCCTCACAATAATAAGGGCTCATGTACCACAGCGTTGTTATTTTAATAACAGCTGGAACACCAAAATGCCAATCTCATCCGGCAAGGCCATAAACTTCAGGGTGATAATGGCCTCACATATTGTGCAGCTCAGATGACACAATACCTATGGACATATAATGAAGACTCAAGAAAAGGGGAAAAAAGGTTTTTAACTCAGTCTTTCCCAAAGTGTGGAATTCATGTGTTACAAGGCATAACTTTGGGTGGTACATTGGTATGGCATCAAATAACATAGAACCATCTGAGGAGAAAGTCCTCATTCTAAATTTTCTGAGTCCACCAAAGAGAAAGACCCAGTCTGGTGCTAGTCTGTCTCTAACATGTGCTATTTTGTTTTCAAACAACAAGAACAATACTGAGAACTTTGGGTAGGCCATAATGTGTACCTAGAATTAAACAATGTTATTTTGATAGTATAATGTTTTTGTTTTTGTTTATAAGATTTTATTTATTTATCTTTAGAGGGGAAGGAAAGGAGAGAGGGAGAGAAACATCAATGTGTGGTTGCCTTTCGTGCATCCCCTGCTGGGAACTGGCCTGCAGGGAACCAGTCTGCAACCCAGGCATGTGCCTTGACTGGGAATCGAACCGAAATTGTCTGGTTTGCAGGCCCGTGCTCAATCCACTGAGCTATACCAGCCAGGACCTGTATAATGTCTTTTTAAGGTTCTTTCTTTAGAAGTATCATTTATACTAGTGATATAAAGTCTCCTTAAAACAAATTTACTGAAAATTTTAAAGTCACTCATTTAAGAAAAATACTATGTAAATGAAAGGACAGGTGGTCTTTGGTGTTAGGAAAAATCCTGGGAGTGGTTCTCAAATGCCTAATGTCTGGAAAGCATTGCTTTAACACCAGAGAGTGATTTCAGTTGAATTCCACACAGTAGGCATAAGCTCCTGCACAGAAAAGGGTGAGTTTTTACAAGGGGTCAAGTTTTGAGGCCAGTGTAAGAAAAAGGCCTTGGGGCATACAAAGGTAGCTAGAGATTGGTTCAAATTGTTCAGCATCCAGGAAAATTGGGGACTAGGGAACTCCTCTCCCATGATGACTTCTGGAATTCAGATCTAGTGACCTCACCAGAGCTTTGGAGGAAATTATTCATAAGTAGAAGAGATTCCTTGAATCTTTAAGAGGGACTAGAAATGACCCTTTACTCTTGCATCTGTTAAGTCCAAGTAAGTCTCCCTGTTCCCTTTCTATAGGCAACCACTCTTCACAGTTTCCTATGACCCCTCACAAGAATGTTTGTTAGGTGGGAACACTTACTCCCTGCTCCTCATGTTTCCCTGTGGAGGAAGTTGCACCAGATTAACACTTCTGGCCTCATGCCCCACCCCTCACTCACTCTTTCAATCCTGATTGGAGGAGACATCCAGCGTTCACTTTTTGGATTGGTGGAATTCAGCCATCAAGGGGCCACTGTGCAGAGCTTTGCCTTTCCCTAGACCTCTTCTCTAGACTAGGGAGTGGGTGTGTCTGATCTTCCAGAATCCAAATTTCCCATGGTTGGCGGGGCCTGGAGGCTAGTAGGGAACAGGGGTGTGGAGCTGAGAGCTACACCAAGCTCATTTGGCCACAGTCTAAGCTAAGTCAACCTAGCCTTTCTCACTTAATAATATCCTCCAGAGATCATTCTTTTCCATATGAATCTACCTTATCCTTGGAGTGGCTACCTGAAGTTGCACTGTGTGATTATGCCACAATCTACTCAACTCGTTCCCTACCCATGCCCATTTTGGTCATTTCCAAATGTTTTGCCACTCCAAACTATACTTCCAGTGAGCATCCCTGAACTTCTTTGCATGGACAGATTCCTAAAAGTGGAGGTGCTGGGCCAAAGGATATGGACATTTAATTTATCTTATTTTTATTTTTTATTAAATTAAAATTTGATTTACTGCAAAGCACCCTGGCAACTGTTAGTGCTGTGTCAGCCTTGATCTTAAGAAAATCTTCAGTGGGTAGAAAGTATTGGACCAACTTGTGCATGACCTGGAT